GGGAGGGCAGCTGCATTCGCTGCCACGTCTCACCCACGCACGTCCCACCCACGCCCTGTGATGGGCACGGGGAGCTGCCCCGCTCCTCTTCTGGAAGTGCTGAATCTGCTCAGGCTCTGGGGACCCCCCCCGATGCCAGCAGCGTCTCTGGAACTGTCTGGGAATGCAATTTATCATTTCCAGCCCCTGGCAGAGCAGCTGTGACACGAGTGGTCACAGCTACACGCCCACCGGTGCTGAGTAAGCCTCTTGTTTGGAAAGTGTTTGCAGTTCTGCATTGAAAAACAGCTGCCCAGACAGGAGCACTGGTGGGTTTGGTGCCTGAGCAATTGCTCCCTGAGTCTGAGAGAGCAAGTGCTGCCTAAATGTGGCATCAGGCCACAATGGTTGCATGGGCATCAGGTTTTCTACTGACCTTGTAATTTCTCTGAGGATGGATTTGTGCAGGAATGGGATAGATGAGCTGAAAGCTGCCATTGTTTTAGGAAGGAGAGTACAAGTCGTGGTTGGTTGGTCACAAAAGGAACGTCTTTATTTTCCTGTACTATTTGTTCTGTCTGCACTCAGAGCTGGGTTGGCACTGCCGGGGTTAGCACTGGAAACGGGGCTGGGGCTGCTGAGGTGACGTGGGGCTGGGGCACTTGGTGCCTTCACTAGGCCATGGCAGTGATACATGGCAGTTAAGGTGGGTGTTGGGTCCCTTCCCATCCCTGCTGCCCACTGGCTTCAGTGTTTTGCTGCTTGTCTGTGCTTTGTGAGGAGCACAGTGTGTTTGGGATGGGAGCTGCTGGGACCTGCTGCACCCCTGGAGGGGAGCAGAGGCCTCATGGGCACCTGGAGCTTGTGAGGTTGCCATCATGGCTCCTGCCCAGGACAGGTATTCCTAATTAACTGGTTTTCTGGCCTGCTCTGATAGGAAATTACATCTTGCATTGAGCCACAGCTCGAGGACTGTATGACATGTCCCTGTGTCTCCCTTTCCAGAGCTCTAACTCTCCCAGCTGGGGTAACTTGATGGTTTGTCTGTAAATACTTCAAATTGGATTGAAATCTCTCTTTTCAGGACAGCTCTAGATATAAGATATAGATATGGATCTTCCTGGAAAATTCTCTGCATCCTTCATTGTGCCAAGGTTCTATCGATGGCAATTTTTGAGGTTGACAGTTCCAGCAAATAATGATGTGTCAGTGGCAACACTGCCAGCATGAAAAATTCCTTGCACGAAATTGAGTGAAGGCAGATGCGTGAGTAAAGCTCAACTACAAAGTAACAATAAACCCCAAACATCAGGAAGGTTCCAAGAAGAGAAATTAAATTTTCAGACCATGGGAAGAAGGTGATAGTCAAGGTTATCACTGGGTAATGGCAAAGGTCTCCAGCTACAGCACAGACACCTTGATTTACTGTAGCAATAAGCAAACAAAGCTGCTGTTGCTGTGTGAGGAACACTGTTCTAGGCATGAGCACACCCAGGAAGGCCCTGAGGAATCTTCCCTTTGCAGCTGGAGCGTGAGATGAATTGAGCTTCTAATAGACAATTGATTTCTTAATTTTACCTGGTGATGTCTTCTTGCTGCCGACTGTTCGGTGCGTGCTGGCTTCAGATGAGCAGCTGTGGAACACTCCTGCTTACACCACAGTGATCAATCACTTCAATGGTTTTGCAGTGAAGCAGAGGCAGTTTCAGGATTCAGCCTGGGCTGTGGGATCGAGATGGAGTTTTGTGTGGGGGTGTGAGTGGAGCTGGGGTGCCAGCAGGTGAACCCCCTCCTGTGGAATCCCTGTGTCCCTGGTGAACCTTCACAAAAGCCTCTTTAAATCTTTTTCAAATAACTGCATTATTAAATGCTTAATACACCTCCTGATTACAGATGAGCAAATAATTAACAGTATTTAGAGAGGTTCTCTAGGGAGGTTTAACCATTCTTTTTTTCACACAGAACTTCCATGTCTACTCTGTAAGTAATTAAGTTACTTATTGTTCACCTTGGTTCACTGGGTTTTAAAATGTTGACTTAGATTTTTGCTGTGATGATCAGTCCTTAGACAGGATTTCCTTGAAACCTTGTTTCCCCTGAAACCTGAGCTTTGCTTCCATGCTGCCAGAGGCATTTCTGCCTGGAAACACTCTCAGCACCCAGCTCACCATTTACCTGCTGGAAGTGTTGGTGTGCTCCTGACTGGAGTCCCCTCTTCTCCCTCCTGTGCTCTCCCAGTGCCCATCCCTGGCCTTGCAGCCTCAACGAACCCGAGGGGTTTCATCACCCTCACCAGCTTGGTGCTGATGGTCCCACCCCAGTGACCCAGGGGCAGCAGGACATCTCTGTGTGTGTGTGACCACGGAGCAGCGAGCAGCTCATGTTCTTTCTCAGCAGTGCTGGTTTCTGTGACCAAACCCCAGCCTGCAGT